TGTATCTCATCACGCTCTGTGTCCCTCTGTGCCCCTCCTGTGTCACACGCACTATGCAGCGCCACCAACGCGCTGCAATCCAGGAGCAGCTGCAGGGCATGCAGGGGGCCTTCTTTCCGGACGGGTGCGCGCGGGCTTCTCAAAGCAAGCGCGGCGCCTGCCCAAGGCTCTAGAGGTGTGCTGTCGAGCGCCTGCGAGGGGTAAAAAGTGCCAGCCTCGGCCGCGGAGGAGGACAACTGGAGAAGAGGGAGGAGGAGGAGGAGCAGGAGGAGCAGGAGGAGCAGGAGGAGCAGGAGGAGAAGATGGAGCGAGGAGGACAATTGAGAGGAGGAGGAGGATGATGCTGCTGCTGCTGCTGATGATGTTTCTGTTGATGATGGTGATGATGGCAATAATCAAGCTGCTTCTGCTGATGATGATGATGTTGATGTTGTGGTTGATGATGATGCTACTACTGGTGATGATGCTGATTATTATGCTGATGCTGATGTTAATGCCGATGATGATGCTGATGATGATGACGGTGACGATGACGATGATGATGTTGTTGTAGTTGATGATGGTGATGATGCTGATGATGCTGATGATGATGATGCTGATACTGATGATGACAGGATGGATCCCAAAAAGATATTAACCTGGGTTTAAAATGTTTCGGGATAGTTGACCAGGGTTCATAATGTCTACTCTGGAACATTATGAACCTGGGTTAAAATGTTCTGGGAATATTGTTTGTGGTTCATACTTTTCCCCCGGAACATTATGCACCTTGGTTTTTGGTTTTTCATGTTCTGGGGATATTCATCCCAAAAACATATTAACCTGGGTTTATAATGTTCCGGGAATGTTAACTGGGTAATGCTCCGGGATAGTTGACCAGGGTTCATAATGTCTACTCTGGAACATTATGAGCCTGGGTTAAAATGTTCTGGGAACATTGTTTGTGGTTCATACTTTTCCCCCGGAACATTATGCACCTTGGTTTTTGGTTTTTCATGTTCTGGGGATATTCATCCCAACAACATATTAACCTGGGTTTATAATGTTCCGGGAATGTTAACTGGGTAATGCTCCGGGATAGTTGACTAGGGTTCATAAAGTTCCCCCCGGAACATTATGAACCTGGGTTAAGATGTTCTGGGAATATTGATTGGGGTTCATAATGTCCCCCCTGGAACATTATAGACCCTGGTTGATAATGTTCTGGGGATATTCATCCCGAAAATTAACCTGGCTTTATAATGTTCCAGGAATATTGATTGGGGTTTACAATGTCCCGGGAATAATGAACCCGCTTTTCGTAATCCCGGAATGATACCAATTATTATTTCCCCCCTTTCCCCAGGTTCCTCACCAGGTTCTTCATGTCGGAATATAGACCCCGGTTCATTATCTCCAGAAGATCGGACTCATCTTGTTCCCGGAATATTGACCCCGGATTCATAATTCTGGAATGATAATGATTGGCCCTGGGGAGCGCAGTTGCATTCCGGACCGGTTTTCTTAGAGCAAACACGCTAACGAGCAGGGAACGGAGACGTGCGATGATGAGAGCATGATGGGGATTATATTGGGATGAGGTTCGGGAAAGAGGAGGACCGTTTTCATACGCACGTCCTTCTCGTTTTACTCGGGCGTGTTTTTTCCAGGGCAAGCACGCTGACGTTGCAGGGGAAGAAAGGCTGCCATGCTGAGGGCATGGCGGTGCTCGGACGGGCCTAGGATCGAGGATGCGGAAAGGGAAGAATGGTTTTTTTCTTATATGGACGACGTTCAGGTTTTATTCGAGCCTGGTTTGTTTCCAGGACAACCATGCTCACGTTGGATGGGAAGGAAGGATGCGAGGCTGAGGGTATAGCGCGTATGAGGCGGCGCCAGAATTCAGGATGCGGATCGGTGGATTGGTTTTCATGGGGACGTTGTTCTGGTTTTATTCGGGGGCAGCTTTTCCAGGGCAGGCGTGCCGATCCAGAGGTGAATGAGGAGTGCGATGATGAGGGCATGTGAGGGATTGGGATGCGGATGGGGTTCAGGATGCGGGTTGGTGGTGATGGTTTTCATAGAGACGTCGTGCTGGTTTTATTGGGTGCATTTTTTCTGGGCGGGTTTCTGCTGACGTCGACGGGATGGAAGGGTGCGATGATGAGAGCCTGGGCGATTTGGAATGTGGATGGGGTTCATGATGCGGGTTGGGGATGGTGGTTGTCATAAAGGCGTCGGTCTACTTCATTCGGGAGTTGCATAGCCAGGGCAAATGTTATGATGTAGAGGGGAGGAAGGAGGTGCCCTGATGAGGGCGTGAAGAGATCGAGGATGAAGGCGAGGTGTTGGGCCCTCATGGGGAGCTCTTGGGGGCCTCTTGGAACTCTCTTTGAGCCCTCTTGGGGCCCTCCTGGAGCCCCCTTGCTGCCCCAAGAGAGATCTAAGAGGGCCCCCAAAGGGCTCCCCCCCCCCCCAAAGAGGGCCCAACACCTTGTCACGAACAAGTCCCTTGTTCGTGACAAGGTGTCGGGCCCTCTTGGGGGCCTCCTGGAACCCTCCTGGAGCCCTCTTGGGGCTCTCTTGGAGCCCTCTTGGAGCCCAAAAGGGCTCTAAGAGGGCCCCCGCAGGGCTCCAAGGACCCCCCCAAGAGGGCCCGACACCTTGTCACGAAAAAGGGTTTTGTTCGTGACAAGGTGCTGGGCCCTCTTGGGGGGCTCTTGGGGCCCTCCTGGAGCCCTCTTGGGACCCCCCCTGCACCCCCTTCAGGCATTCCTGGAGCCCTCTTGGGGCTCTCTTGGAGCCCTCTTGGAGACCCAAAAGGGCTCTAAGAGGGCCCCCACAAGGCTCCAAGGACACCCCAAGAGGGCCCGACACCTTGTCACGAAAATGAGCCTTGTTCGTGACAAGGTGTTGGGCCCTCTTGGGGGGCTCTTGGAACCCTCCTGGAGCCCTCTTGGGGCCCCCCCTGCACCCCCTTCAGACATCCGTAGTCGTTTTGGCACAAGCTTCTTCCAAGCGTCGCGGCGCACATGGATCTCTCCGAACAGCGCAAGTTGCTTCGGCCAGGGCGGCAATGGGAGAAATCCACGGGCGCCTCCAGCAGATTCCGCGGCTCAACCCGGGATAATCCAAGTACGACTTTATCGCCGAGAAGCTCGGTGTACCCGAGCACCGCTCGCCAGCGGCATGGGCAGGCATGCTGAGGAGAGCGCGGGCTGCAGTGACGGCTGCGGATAACGAAGCTGCTGCGAAGGCCGCGGCCAAGAAGGCGAGGCTGGACTCGCAGAAAGCAGAACTGACGCACGCTGGCCTGGACGAGGAGGAGTTTGTAGACGACGTCGGCTCCTGGATCGCCCGCTGGCCCTCGTCATCATCCGCTCTATCGCCCCCGACTCCACTCTGCATTCCCTGCGCGCCCTCAGCATCGCACCTCTCTTCCCCCTGTGCGAGAAAAAAATCTGCCTCGAAGAAGCCGCCCCCGAATGAAACTGGACCGACACCCTAATAAGAGCCACTCCTCCGACCCGCATCCGGAAACCCGTCTCCATCATCACCCCCTCCGTGTTCTCATCATCGGACCCCCCCTTCCCGTCCATGTCAGCAGGTCCGCCCAGCAAACAAAGCACCCGAATAAAACCAGAACGACGAGCCTATGGAAATCAGTTCCCCACGAAGAGGAAAAGGAGGAGGAGGAGGAGGGGGGGGAGGAGAAGGAGGAGGAGGAGGAGGATGGAAATCCCAGTTTAATTCTACTTGCGTCGCCCACCCGCGATTCCAACGAAACCGACGTCCTTGTGGCGTTGCTCGGTTGTAGCGACGTTCAGACGCCGCCGAGACGGCCCAGATTTGCCAAGAATGCACTTCGATTGTACGTGTGCATGTTTGAGTGTGCGTGCGTGTGTCTGCCCGTTCGCGTTCGCGCGTGCGCGTGCTGGTGCGTGCGTGCTGGTGTCTGTGAGTGTGCCTGTATGTGTGTGTGTGTGTGTGTGTGTGTGTGTGTGCGTGCGTCGCGATCATGGCCGATGTGGTGATTCATCTTCCTGCGTCTCGCCCCGTGAACCTATTCCCACGCGGCTTCTCTTAGCGGGGCGCCGTCTCAATTATCTTGCACTTTCGTCCGTGACACATTGGCTCAAACTCTCCTCAGCTGCCTCCCGACTCCCCCCTTCCGCGGTTTAGTCCGTGTCCAGGCAGCTACCCCCATGCATCCGCAGACCTCTGCGTCGCGGCTGTCTCCTGGGGAGTGCCTCGACGCGCTGGCTGCGGACCTGCTTGCCGGGAAGATTGGCGACGTGCTTGCAGGTTGCGGCACTTCCGGTGCGTTCGCCGACGTCCTTGCAGGAAACGGCTCGCGCATGCTTGGCGCGCCCACGACAGACGCCCTCGCGCGTGGCTGTGCCGGCGCCAGTTCTGATGCCAATGCCGCCGCGCCTGTGAGCGGAACTGAGACAAGTCCAGGCCCCGGCGAGATTCTGGATCGCATCGATGCGGATCTTCGCGACGGCAGCGTCACCTTCGACGACGACTACGCTGCGCCCTCGAGACCTTCTTTCCACCGGGACGTCCCGCTGATCTCGCTCAGCCAGGTCCGCGCGTGGCCATTCTCGACCCCCTTCAATGGGCCATTGCGCATCGGCTTCGCGCAGGGGATCGTAGAACTTCCCATGGCGCCGCCGGCGAAGCTGCGGCGCCTCAAGTGAGCAGTCCGTTTGACAGCCGTGCGTTCCTATTTGCGCGGCCTCCATAGTGAATTGCCGCGGTTCGCACGCTCCAAGACATTCGCCATGCCCTTGTTGCTGCCTTGTCCGCTGAGTACCGTCGTCGTGCTGCTTCGTCGTGCCGCTTTCGTTGGCCTTTGCTCGCTTCCCCTGGATATTCTTCCACGCCTGCTCGTCCGCTGTTTTCGGCCCCAGCGCTACTGTTGCTCATCTGATATCTGTCCACCGAGAACTCTTCTCCAGCGCTGCCCGCGCGCGGCGGCGCGTCGCCTGCTGGCCGAATTAACTGCTTCCGCCGCGATGCCGGCCGCTATGCCGTCGGGCGAGCAGATCGACGCCTTCTTCCAGAAGCTCGAACAGGCAGTGCCCTTCCCAGAGGCCGAGCTCGCCGCCCTCGCGCCGCTGGCCGTCGCCCAGGAGTGGAAGAGCATCGGGGCAACGCAGAGCGTCCCCTGGATATGGGTCATGCTGTGTGAGCTCTCCCTCGTGAGCTTTCTGACGCCCAACGCTCGCATCACTCCGTTGGCGAGCTTCTTTGTGTTCTCGCTGAGCTGGATGTTCTTCCTGCATCCCGGCGCGCGCCACGCGTCCAACCTTCTCCGGCTGTGCCGCAACGTGCTTCGTGCTTTGGAGCGCAAATCCAACGAGGCCCGCGCGGCCATGTGGACGCAGCTGCGTTTGCAAGCGTTGCCGAATCCAGCGGCCAAGGCAGCGCTGAAGGAACGCTTGCAGAAGCTGCGTGGCGTCTCCTTCCGGGTTGGCACCGGCTCGTTGGAGGGCGTCGGCTTGAAAATGTCTTCCGACGCGTGCCGCGCGGCTGCTGGTAGCTGCCTCGTGGAGGGCTCGCAGTTCCTGCAGTGGCTTCAGCAAGAGCTCGGACTCAACAAGCCATTGCGACGCAGCTCTGGGAGCGTATGGCGTGGCAGCGCGATGTTGTGAACTCGACGCGCTCCTTCGAGATGACCTACCCGTTCCTGGGGGTGCTCGGAGCGATTCATGTAGGGGGCGTCCGGCACTTGTTCTCCCAGCCTGACCCGCTCGGCGTGCGCGGGCGCATCGGCCTCATATACGCCCGCCCCGGCATGAAAAAGGGCACGTGAGATCCGCGATGCAAGCGCTGAGCTCCAGAACGAGAAAGGCGCCGACAAATTGGAGGAGCGCATCGTGAACAAGTTCTTCGCCGTCTACAAGGCCCGCGCCATCGAGCACGTCGGTGAGGGCTCTTTCACGTATCATTTGGGCCACCCATTCCGGAACTACGACTTTTCCAGCACGGGCGGCGGTCAGGCTGAGACCGGGTTCTTCGACGTGTTCGACGCGCGCGTGCAGCAGCAAGGGGGCGCGTACCTGGTGAAGCACGAGGGGGCGAAGAAGCGCGGGAGGCTGAAGGGCAAGCACCTGCGCCGCGCCCTCAACTGGGCCAACGTGATGAATGCTCGGGGGGACGTGGCGTTCGACGCGTGGAACACAGCCATCGACCTCAACGCGCTCAAGGCAGCCCAGTTGATCGGGGATTTCTCCGAGAAGCTTGCCGAGGAGATGTCCAACGTGGCGCGCGATGCCCCAGCCGGTGGGGGGGGGCTCGGCCCCGGGCCGCGGGCATGCTGAAAAGATCCGCGTCACCTTGTCGCTCTCGCTGTCCGCGCTGCGCCGGGAGATCCCCGTGGACCAGCGCGCCTTCACCAAGGCCTTTGTCATCGCCATGCCGAGGATGCAGACTATCTGGCTAGAGTCGACGAGCCTGAAGGCGCACGGCGAGATCCGTGACAACTTGCCCGCCGCCAGCACTGGCGAGAAGTTAACCGCCGTCTGGCGCATGGCGCTCGCGAAAGCGCTGCAGCTCGGGCGCGCCGTCATGTCCACGAACCCGCGCGGCGCCAAGAAAATGCACTTCGTGAAGCGCTCCGCCCTCGCCTCCGACGCGCGCCGCCAGGAATTCGAGGCCGTGCTGAGCGCTTTGGGTATGGGGCCCGGCCAGTGCGCCGCGCCGACGGCGGAGGTCGCGGACGCGAGCCGCCCGCAGACGGTCCCCGCTCTGGTGCGCAGCGCCTGGACCTCGGAGGCAGCGCAGGAGGCGGTGACCACTCTCCAGCAGTGGTAGACTAGGCCGCGCGCGCGCCCTCGCCATCGTTCGCCCTGCGGCCAACTGCGCTGGCACGCCCGCTCTGCTCGCGCAGGCTTCGCTCCCCGCACTCCGCCCGCGCAAGGCAAGAGCTTCGGCGGGCATGGTCTCGACCGCTTCTGCGAAGAAGCGATTGTTCACATGTCCCGCGCGTCTTTTTGCATCGCTGTGTTCCGCTTGTCTCCCCGCGTTGTTCCCGGCCCCTTTGCCATCGGGCTCAACTATGCATGCGCCCGGCGCGCGCGCGCCCGCCATGGCGGCCGCCGCTGAACCTGGCGGCGCAGTCGGCGATGACGCGGCGCATGCCGCGTGCTTGGGGCCGCTCCGCCCGAGGCATCTCGGCGTGCTGGTGCAAGCGTGTGTCCGGAGCCACCCGGCTAGCCGCTGCTCGTGCGCGCGCCGGCTGTTGGAGGGCGCCGGCCACGGGCGCGTGGCCGGGCAAATCCTCGCCGACGTCTTCAGCAACCCTAAAACCTGGCTGCCTCACCTCCTCGGAGGCGCGCCGCACGTGGTTGGCGCCTCGCTGCCAGAGGGCGTGCTGGTGGAACCTGCGTTGTCCGTCTGCCCCGAGTGCTCGTCGGTGCTGGACCCGCAGGGGCCGCGATCAGCGAAGGCGTTCTTCTACGAGCACGGGTGGTGCGACGTGTGGTTCCGGACAGCGCGCTGCTGCACCTGCGCGACCTCATCCTCCGGGGCATGGTCTTTCGGGTCATTGAAATGCACTTCTGGCAGAAGCGTCGAGTCGCCGGAGGGCCAGGACTTTTCCAGATCGCCGCGGCGCCGCGCGCCCATTCCAAGCTGTTCATCCAGACTAAGGCTCTCTGGATGGTCCGGAGCCACATTGTCCGCAGCCAGGCCGGCTTCAACGCTCTCGCCGACATTTTCGCCGATCTTTTCGGGGGCTGCGCCCGTGACACCAACGACCGCAAGCGCTTCGAGTACGCGTCGATGTCCTCTGAGATTATGTCCATCCCGTGGCGTTCTGACAGCGCCGCGGCGCAGCGCCATCAGTGGCCCCTGGATTGCACGCGCAGCGCTTCCGAACTGCGAGGGGTCTACTTGAGCGTCCTCCCAGAGCTTCGCGCCTGCTTCCAACAGACGCATTCGCGCGACCACTCTTGCGAGCTGTGCCGCGTGCCCGCGGTCACGTTGGACGCGAAATACGGCGTCGCCTGCCCCGTCTGCAACCGCCGGGAGGGCGGCCGCGTGTTCTTCGCGCCCATCCAGTCCGCGGTCTGCTTCGGATGCGAAGAGCCACCCCTGGGCCACTCGTCTTATTGTAAGACGCACTATGTGGGCGCCGCCCCGGGCGCAGGCCACGCCGTGCGCGTGCTGCGCCATCGCGACCGGGGCGGCGTGCGAGAGTGCACGTGCGACGGTAGCTCGCGGTGGCTGCCGCGATCGAAACTGCCCGAGCCCGCAGTGCAGGCATGCGAGGAATAGATGGCCGAGGTGACGGCGCGGCGCAAGCGCCGCCGAGGGCACGCGGAGCCTGAGCAGGCAAGTTCCCATGGGCGATGCGACGATGGAGTGGGTCCTCCCGATGGCGGCGACGCCGCGACATCTGAGCTCGATTTGCTCCCTGACGACGTGAACCCGTGCAATGTCGACAAGGCGGCCAGCGTGCCGAGGCGACGCTATGGTGGGCTCCTGGTCTGCGCACTCCCTTGTGGCAGAGTCTGCGACCTCTCCCCGCTGGCCAGCGGCGAGTCGCTCACGCAGGTGCACGCGATGTTGTCATCGGTGATGAGCCAGAGAACTGTGGAGTATGTCTTGTATGACAATGCCCGCGCGCTGGCCCGCTTCGCGCGCCGCGCGAAGCGGTCCTCCCGGACGGCCGCCGCGGCGCAGATCGCTCTCCAGAAGTGCGTCTTCGACGCGTTGCATGTCGCGAGCCACCGCGCGTGCGCGGACCCAGACCACCATTTGTACGTGCCAGAGGTTCAGCGGGGCAGTCGCCCCGCGCTCGCCGGCGTCAACGCGCAGACGTGCGAGCAGTTCTTCTCGTGGCTGGGCGGCCTCCGCCCCGTCGTCCAGAAAATGGCGCCAGCTACTTCTAAGGTGTTCTTGCTCCTGGTCTGCCACTGGCATAATCTTCTCGTGGTGGACGCGTCGGGCCGTGCGACTCGCCCGCCGCGACGGCATGCAGCTGCAGCGGCGCGAGCGTCGCCGCCGGTGCCGCCGGCGCCGCCTCCCGCGTGCACATCCGCGTCGGACTCAAGGCAGGCGCCCTTAGCAGTGCGCCTCGCCCGGAATCCCCAGGGAGCGCGGGTGTGGGGGGCCGGAAAATTCCATTGGATAGAGGACGCTGCATCTCCGCGGACCCCTTGCCGCCGCGTGTCAACGTCAACGCTTAGCGAGGCATCAAATTTCAACGCTCTGGATATCCGCCGCGACCCGAATGCCGGCTTCGTCTTGCATCGTGCCACTGGGGAATGCGAAGTGTGCACGCTCTGCGCGCGGCTTCTATCTATTGGCGCTCGGCCACGTCCGCCCCCTAGCCGCAGTCCTATATCATGTGCGGGCGATTTTCTTGGGGGCCATCTTGGTGTCTCTGGGGCAGCCTCTCGGGCGTTTCTTCGTCACTTTTCCGAGCTCACCTGGAGTCTTTTGGGAGCGTCTTCGAAACCTCTGCGACCTTGCTGGCGATCTCGGGCCGCATGTTTCGCGAAGAGCCTCAACACTCACTTCGGGTTCCCTCTCTTGGGCCTCCCTTGACTGGCAAGACGCCCCTCGAACTCGGACGGCGAACTCGATAACCTGAGGGGGGCGCCAACCCAACCTCCCACGAAGCTCTGCCAGCACGCCTCTACATGCAGCAGGCCAGGGTGGCGGACTCAAAGCCGGCTATACTTTTCAGCCCTGACTGCTGCGTCTGCTTTAGACGTTCTGGAAGTGGCGTGCTCCTTTGCCACGAAACATTCCCTGCGAAGCCACCTTCCGTCATGATTGCAGATTCCCCCCCTCCCCTCGTCATCGTCGTCCACCTCGTCGTCGTCGTTGTCGTTTCCACCTTCTCCGTGGTATGTGCGCTTTCACCGCCACTGTGATTGTCGCTGCAGTTCACGCCGCTATAGGCCATCTGGGGCAGCTCGCGTGGGCCGAGTCTTGTCCCAGCGCTCTGACGCAGTCTTCGGCCTCTGATGGGCTGGTCTTCAAGCGTCGTGGAATATGCTCCAGCGGGTTTGTCGATCGTCTTGCAATCACCCTTCCCGTCTTCTAACCGCCGTGGCAACATGGGCACGGCGCGACCATTCCGGAATGAGAACAATGATTCGTTAATCGCTTCGCTCATTCCACCATCCCATATTGCGCCCCTCTTCCTATGCGTCCGCGTGCCTGGGCAAGGGGGGGACAGAGGAGGAGGATGACGGAGGAGGGCGAGGAAAAGGAGGAGGAAGAGGATGAGGGCGAGGAGGCGGCTTTTCGATGCCACTTCGAGGCGTTTTGCGAGGCCAGCGTTAGTCGCTGACCGAAGCGCTCTTTCTGAGGCTTCCTCAGGTATCTCGGGAAGCCAGTCGGGCGATGCTTGGTGGTATTTCTGAGATTTTCTCATGGATCCTCTTGGGGGGTTCTTCGGGGCCCCCTGATGTCTCCTGGGGGCCTCTCGGAGACGACGCACCTGATATCAGGGCGGGTCCCTCGTCAGAGCCTCCGCTTCGAGTCTTCATCGAGGCTTCTTGGGCTGTCTGGGAAATCACTTGAGCTGTTTCTGATGTTTCTGGAACCGATTCGAAGCTCCTTCGGAGTTTTCTGGCGCCGTCTCGGGCGATCTTGGGAGCCCCCCGGCCTGTTCATTATTCTGGAATAATAATAATGGAGCCGAGGGAGCGGCTGAGAATAAGATCTGGATTGGGATTAACCCTTGTTCATTATGTTCGAATATTGACCTCAGCTTTATTATTCCAGAATGAAAATGACCCGCCCGGGAGGGGGGAACCAGTTCATCTAAATGACAACCCAAAGGGTAATATCATCTATACATATTGCACCTAGGTTTATTATTTCTATGTAATCAACCACGGTCGATGTTCTGGGAATCGCTAGCTCTGCTGTGTTATTCCATAGTGATAATAATGAAACGGGCGGGCGCGTGAGAAGAGAACCTGGACTGAGATCAGCGCTGGATCATAATGTCGGAATATCGATCCCATAATCATTATTCCGGAATGATAATGGTCCGGCGGGGGGAGGGTCCCGTTTGAAATGAGGATCTGAACTGAGATAAACCCTGGCTCATAATGTCGGAATTTTGAACCCAGATTCATTATTCCAGAATGATAATGATTCGGCCGGGGGGGGGGGGCGATTCCTCCGTGGGACAATGATCCAATGGCGGTATCATCCAAACATAGCGAACTTAGGTTTATCATTCGTAGATAATGAACCACGGACGACGAGGATTTCGCACCTACCCTCGATGATGACGACGATGACGACGATTATGCTGCTGATGATGATGCTGAGCCGAAGAATGAGGGGTAGGACGAGGAGGAGGGGACGGGGGAGGAAGAGGAACATGAATAATGAAAAGAAGACGAATGACAATATTATTATTACTATTAGTATGATTAATAATCATAATACTATTAAGAAAGCGAAGAATAGTGCGACTACGAATCGTATTAATCTTAATAGTACGAAGGAACAACGAATCGTAATCAGAGGCAGGCGAGTCACACTAAGACGAGCAACCATACGAATCATGACAATCATACTACGAATGCGAATGCGAACACTAATACTAATAGTATGAATCGTAAGAAGACTAAAGCCACGAGGAATAATACCAATACGATTCATACTCATACTAACAATACGAAGAATAATTTTAATACCAAGACGAAGGGTAATAGCAACTCTAACACGAATGCGGTTCTTACTCGCTTGGCTTAAAGGGGCCGGGCAGTGCAAACCGCCCCCGGCGGTTCCCCCAGTCCCCTGGGCGCCAAGCAAAAACAACAGCAAAGGTAAAAGCA